TCATACGGTCGGAATACTTTTAAAACCAAAGAACCCGGCGCTGCTGTAAAGGCACCTGCTGTGCGCAGCCGCAACTGGAGTGAGACAATAACGCCCTACTCCCTGCGCCCTCGGACCGGGCCGGCTCCCTCCAGCCAAGTAGGTCAGACCAGTGAGTCATTGGCTCCGGGAAGGGTCCCCGAGAAAACCCTAACAACCGTTATCTCGTGGTCCAGACTTTTGAGTTAGAGGCTAGGGGCAGGGCTCCCGAACAAAACCCCACATCCTCCCATTGACTTGTGGGTCAGACTTTTGAGTCAAAGGTGGGGTACATCAACTAAACTCCCTTCTTCGGCCTGCACAACCTGAAAGTATAATTTGCCTTTGAATCTCTTGGCGCGCCGGCCTTCCCTCTCAACCCATCGAACACAGCAGTGCAGCCAATCCATCTGTCAACCCCCCAGCCACTATTCCGTGCCTCAACTATCGCCAAAAAGATTAAAATAATCACCTACTTGCCTCAGAAGATCTGATCCACGTTTCGGCCTTAAGTGTCCGTACTCTATGTCAAATTGAGCAACCGGCACCCCTTGCTGAAACCTTACTTTCCCTCTCTATCGATGTGTGTTGTGTTTCCGAGACACGCATACAAGACTCTACTTCGGTCGTACTCATCAAGCCGCTTAGGACGAGTCCAGATGTTCCACATTTCACTCTTCGGGCATCCGGTGATCCTGACGCAATGGCCCGTACTAACTACGGTGTGGCATTTGCACTCAGACCCAAGGCTGAAAGCACAATATTGGACTGTTCTGTTTGTTTGTCATATAAGCATAAGCCCAGACAGATAGAACTTCTGATGCTGAGAAAGACGAGTTTTATCATGATCTGTCAAGACTGCTTCGGCCGACAAGAAGAACGGATATAGTAGTCCTGGCGAGTGGTATGAACGCCCAATTTGGACGATAAAGTGCGGTAGAAGCACAGTTAGGTATTCGACTTGGACTCGATGCTGAGCGTACGGATAATGCAGAGCGGCTCCTTCAGTTATGTGCATATAATCATCTGTTTCACGCCACTACTCACTTCCACTGAGTGTATTTGAGACGTTTAGAAAGTGTCCGAGAACGAGTTAGAACAGAGTCCAGGTTTTCGAGGATAAGCAACGTTTTACTTGTCTAAGAACAAGCGCACATGAGCTGAAATGTACATACAAAAGTTCAGTACGAGTATATATGGTAAGTATAAGAATAAGCACACAAAAATCATGACACAGATCAACAGGACTGAGCTTACGGTTCACGATTGAAATTCGAACTCGCAACAGTTTTGTATATCTTGACATTAGCTTAAAGCTGTAGGTTGCTTCGCCCATGCACCTCCCGGGGCAGTTCATCTCTTGCGGCTCGGGCATACGTAGCCTGTGATTCCAGTGATTCCATGACTAACGGCTAAGCGTGAGTTGCAATCAGAATCATTGCACTCCATAGTCAGAGACTGCCGCTGCGGGTCGTGGTTAGTCCCTTACTGCTACCGATAATTAACCGTGATTACAGAAAGTTTCTGTCTATGCCTCTTGAATTTGTTTGTTTTCTGCTGACCATGCCAACACAATAGTTTGCTAACTCTCTCCTATGTTTTTGTTCGCAGGCGTTCCTTCTATGGCCGAGAGCGCAGAAGAGCGACAGAGCGAACTGGAAGCCCTGAGTTCCATCTACGAGCATAACTTACACCTCATAAGAGACAATGGACTGCAAAAATTCGAGGTTCATCTCACTGGTCATGGTGGTGGTTCCGATGTTAGCACCGAATGTACTATCACTTTCGAATACACAGAAGAATATCCGTCACAGGCACCACTGTATGAAATTTCCAAATGCGTTAACCTCTCCGAACACGAGTGTGCACAAATCGAGGAACTCATTGAGTCGGCAATCCAGCGCTGCCTAGGCTATATTATGATATTTGATGTCCTTTCAGAAGTCCAAGAGAAAATCAACTCCATCTGTGAAAATCGGCTGGCAATGCGCGTGAAAGCCGAAGAGGCAAGAGAGAAAGCTCGCGAACTGGAAGAGGAAGCTAAATTTCGTGGCGATCGCGTTACAGTGGAATCATTCTTGGAATGGAATGCCAAATTTTTGGCTGAAATGGCCGCGTTAAAAGAGAAGAACAAGGCAGCAGATGAAACGGGACAAAAGCGCCTCACTGGCCGTGAAATGTTTCTACGAGATAATCGATACGACGATTCTGATCTTAAATTTCTGGCTGAAAATGGAGAACAAGTTGCTATCGATGAAAGTTTGTTCGCCGATATCGACCTAACAGATGACTTAGTGCTGGAGGATCCCACAGTTGTGACTTGACCTATTTTGTCAATATTTCGTCATTCTTTAAATATGCTGATTGTTTTTGTGACCAGTTCCCCCTGTTCAATGGTATGGTAGCGACGCATCGGTGTTGAGCACTGATGTCATCCTGTCGATGATGATGTTTAATCGTTTCTGACCAAGAGGAAGGGTGATCGTTATGCGTCTTTCTTGCTCGTTTTCCTAGGTCATACTGCTACATGATGTGGACATAACCACGAAGTAATAGTCCTAACTTCGCTTACGGGCCTATTGTGAGTAACCGGGACGGATTTACTGACCAAAAGTAGTTTAACCGCAAGACGCCTGCGTGTTGTTCATTTCAGACGAAGACTGGGAGCTCGACGTTGCTCATGGGATAAGGCTTAGTGATTAATCAATTCGTGGTTCGAGGCCAATGCAGTATTTCGATTGCCCTTGTCCATATCTGTTAGCATCCCACCCTTTGCGCCTTCTTCAAATAACACGTTAACTAGGCACCGAAAGGGTGTTACAGATGAACGATTATGATTACCACATTTTTAGGCAGACAGAAATTAAACCAGAGTTTGATCTTTTAGGATATTCATGGGTACATGTGTGGTTCGAATCACAGCTGAATTTTCCGTTGATTGGTTAATATGACACCTAACTGGCCGTCGAATAATGCGGCTGATAATTGCATTTGATTTTGATGTTCACCCAGCACTTGGGTTGGCCAGCGAAAGATGTTCACGGATCGGTTGCATCTACTTATATGATACAAGTAGTCCCAAATTTCCTCGCATATCCCGGTCCCAACGGTGATCCCATTTGGCCTGCTGATAGCTGACTTCATCGCTGTATTTGGAATGTATTCGGTTTTGCATTGGGGCTGCGATGTACCAAGATTTGGTGTATAACGTCAACCCGAACGAAGCAGTCCGACAAATACGACTGTCTCTATCACTAGTAACGGAGGTACATCTCTTCCGCTTGTTAACCTAAGTTTTGGGGCAATACGCTTACTCCCAGTGTGCGAAAATACTCACCCTTGAGGGTGACTGTCCACAGTCTGCGTCATGTCATGCCATGTATTCTTCTGAGATTGAGCTCACAGACACACCATTGTGTACAGCAGAGTCCTTGCTTCTTTGGAACCATGCTTAAACAAACCACAACCCGTATTAAGACTGTCTGATGAACGAGGCTGGGTAGTGGAAATCTCAGAGCGCTCCAGAGTTTTTGATTTAGTTTCACTTAAACTTGGGCGTCTAACGGTGGAGTCGATTATCTCAGCTTGTCTTTCGATCCAGTGATTGGAATGACAAATATCGAGTAGACGTTCTAAAAGAACGAATTATTGCACCAGATCTAATTGAGGGGAATTCCATAGCAGTTGTCTACTCCTAGCTTCCACACATACCGACTTGAGACACGTGCAAGGCGGGATACGTCTTGGGATTGTCCTTCTTTGTGTTAACAATCAATATGGCTGTCTCAGTCTAGTTTTTGGATGACAAGGTGACTCAGGGAGACTAGGTGGCTCAGTGGTTAGAGCGCGAATTTACTGAGCGGAAGGTCCATGGTTCGAACCCGACCTCTGCCTCTCGACTTCCCCTGTCCAGGCTTGGGCAACCTGGCAGTATCCCAGCTCTCGTGCGTCTTTCGGGTGGTATGGCAGTGCGGCGCCGAAAGGGTGATACAGCTGGACGACTTTTTTGGACGACCGACAGTTGCCAGACTGAGCAGGCTTTTGGACCAAATGCAAAGCCAATAGACATCTAAATATCACGTCCACAAATGCGACCTCTAAATCGAAACATGTTCCGCGCAATTTCACGGGAACTCAGGGTTGGTGAGAATAATCGTGGGTTGGATTTTCGGAGGAGTAAAAGGCGGGTTGTCGAATAATTTTAGAAAAGCTGATTCGAAGCAAGCCTGAAGGATAAACGATACTCTACAGTTGATACTACATCGATAGGCTCATCCGAAAGCATGTTTGGGTTTAGTCCCGCCCAATCTTGCAGCAGTACTTTACAGGTGCGAAGAGCATACCGAACTGTGCAGCAGGATTATTCAGGTTGTCTAAAACAGCTCGTACTCAGGCCCACTATTTAAAAGCAAAGGTGACAACCTCCAATGGAACTGACACATTGAAATCCACATGCCCAGGAAAGGTTCGACCTTCAAGCACGCGCATAATCGGCGAATGGCGCGGTTTGACAACACCCTCATCGCACAGCTACGAGTACCTCTAGATGTTCACTTTAGTACGTGCCGATTGAAGAACACGACCACAGATTGGAACTAGCTCGTACCAGCAACCCAAATTGGTACTCGATGAATGAATCGATGATAGAGGGCATAACGCCAGGATCTAATTCCGAACTACGAGTAAGTTAACGTGCTACTCTAGGTTATGATAGTTTCAACCGAACGTGCTGCTGAGTAGCTACTCAAGAGGACGACGTACTTTTGATATGTAACTACATAGTGTAAAAAAACAGCCCATCATCGATTCGTCAGTTTAGGGCTTCTGTCATTAGAAGACAATAAAAGACTGTGAAAACTGTACTTCTCCATGAGTCAGCTGAAGTGGCGCGATTATGTTCAACTCAATATCAAGATTGAAAAATCGAAATTGCAATATGTACAAGAAGCGGAGGCTGAAGCTCATCACTTCTTCGGTCTGCGGCGTTTTACGTGTTTAGGAATTTTCGTTTTCCGCTTCTCTGCTTGTTGTTCTTTCACCAGCTTTTTCCGCAATTTCCGACTAGCAGGTGACTCGTTACGCGGTCTTACATTTGGAGGTCTGGAGCTATCGAGTTCTGTTGAGGACACGGAGTAATACTCACTGGAATCCGCGTCGGACGACTGACCGACGTCCTCTGAGTCGGAGGCTACTTCATCCACCTGTTGAGCTCCCGTGAGATCTTGCTTCATTCCGCTAACCGATGCATAATATACATCGTCCGGAGAAAGCAGGCCGCGCTGCATCTTGAGAAAGTCACGAACAAAAGGATAAACTGCCGAAAGGTTCCGGGGTATATGAACGAAACGGAACGCGTTGTCCTCTGCCTCGACAGTCTGGTTGAAACCACGCTCCTCCGCAGTTTCCAGTAGTCTAGTCAGATACAGTTGTGATGCAGGGTCGTCCGGCTGCGGTAGACTCGGGTTGACAACCCAGTCGAAGAATTCCCTCAGAGTAAGCGTAGACACGCCTTGTCTGCGAAAGAAGGTATTCACATTGTGACAGTCCGTCCTCAGGTAGTCCAATGCCTGCGGTGACTCGTGTTCCACAGCCTGTAGAATAGCGGGAACACAGGTGAAGTTAACGGCGCATGTGTGAAGAAAAAACATCTGCACAAGGGAAATCAGCAAGCTACTAATCCTACCAGTTTCTGCTTACCAGCCATCGTCGGCAGGATCAAAACACGGCTCAAAACTACTGGTAACAGCAGGCACGGCAAAAAGGTTGATCTGAGACCAGTGAATAACTACACTAAATGTAGATATTTCGGGACGGTAACTTAAAAATCACTTGGATTCCTTTACAGGTGTCGGTGTTCTAGCCGATGTTGAGTAGAACGACCTTTTGGAGGTTTCTTAGGGGGGCACTGATTTACGCAAACTAAGAGCGATTTCTCACGCCCGGCTGTAAGACATGCGGTCTTTTCTGAGAGGTGGTCTCTCAGAGTTATTTTGAAGAAGCAACCTTCCTTGACAATACCATCAGTGTAGTGTCAATAGCCATCATCTTGCCTTCTCAGATTGGCGTTACAAATAGATGAAAACCCCGATCGACAACACAAAATGGAACTCTCTATATCCCCCATTAGAAGTGGGGGAGAGTAACGGATACAACACTGGCCAGGAGCTCTAGGAGAACTTGGGTGGTAACTGCTACCGCAGTAGGAGACATGCCTGAAGTCACCCGAACTTTACGTGGGAGCTAACACAGGCAAACTAACTATATTCCGCAGTAAATGGTTCATATCACGGTGTTCGTGACTCGCAAAGCTATATGAAGGGGATATCTGATGTTCAACCGATACAGAAATAACATGGTAATCATGTAAAACTCAACTGCTCCAAAGTGACAACTCACTTGCGAAACATCTATCATCCAGGCTTTCCCATCCATGTAGAGCATATTGTATTCACTCAGGTCAGCGTGAATAAGTCGACATTTCTGATAGAGTGTGCGCACATCATTCACTACCTGTGCATACAGAGAGGGCCAATCAGGCGGAGTCTCACCATCAACATCATCGGTGATATTCTCAGCATCCTTCAGCTTTGGAGCCGGAAATCCATGTTTCCCTATAAAACTCATCAACAGGACAACACCCTTTAATCTGAGTGGTGTTGGGCAAGGAATTAGTCCAGATTGTTTGATGCGGATCAAATTACGATATTCCTTCTCAGCCCATTTGGATACGAGTTTCCAAGATGTTGCCTTAGAATATCCATGCCTCATCCTGAAGTCACCCTTTACGTATTTGTCGCGTGACTTGAACGGCATAATGGATGTCATATACACTTTGACAGCGAGATCAGTGTTCGATTTGTCCAAAACGTGGTAGATGTTGGCTTCTTTACCTGACCAAACGACAGTATAAGTCAAAACAACTGAACACACACGTACCGGTACTGATACAGCCGTTGATCTCCGTAAAAATCTCCTGGTTCATCATCTTAAACAAAATTGCACGAGATCGCCTGTCCAGAGCGTGATCTGTTGTGGCCCGATCACTTTTGTCCCTCATCTGACGAGTGGTTTTCATGGAGAAGTCCACCTTATTCTGAAATTTTTGCATGTAAAGCTTCGTGGTGTTAACGTCGTCCTGGTCGGAGTCTGAAAACTCCACATCATCATATTTATCAGTTAGTAAATCAAAGCCCGGCTCGAGCTGCATAAGTTGACCGGACATCGTCATGGTATTATCTGAAATGAAAGGAAAGTAGCCGTGAAAGGTATTCTGGATAGATGATTAGGTGATCTACTACAGGGGACTACAGCTGCTGTGAATCACCACCACTTTGACAGCGAAGTGTTCGATTTGTCCAAAACGTGGTAGATGTTGGCTTCTTTACCTGACCAAACGACAGTATAAGTCAAAACAACTGAACACACACGTACCGGTACTGATACAGCCGTTGATCTCCGTAAAAATCTCCTGGTTCATCATCTTAAACAAAATTGCACGAGATCGCCTGTCCAGAGCGTGATCTGTTGTGGCCCGATCACTTTTGTCCCTCATCTGACGAGTGGTTTTCATGGAGAAGTCCACCTTATTCTGAAATTTTTGCATGTAAAGCTTCGTGGTGTTAACGTCGTCCTGGTCGGAGTCTGAAAACTCCACATCATCATATTTATCAGTTAGTAAATCAAAGCCCGGCTCGAGCTGCATAAGTTGACCGGACATCGTCATGGTATTATCTGAAATGAAAGGAAAGTAGCCGTGAAAGGTATTCTGGACAGATGATTAGGTGATCTACTACAGGGGACTACAGCTGCTGTGAATCACCACCACTGAAAGTTTTACACCAGAAATATATGCATACTGGAAACCAGGGAGAAATAAAAAGGTGTCTGTACGCTTGTCAGAAAACGGTAAGGGGGCTGCAATTTCAAACGCATGGAAATATACCCAGCTGAGTAGATGATGGAGCAACCGACATTTGACGGAAGATTCCACAACTATCCTAACCTGAAAAACATTTATTCCGCACCGGTTTCGGTTTTCACATACACGGAGGGTGCTTCCAATTGGGACCAAAATCCATATAGGTGTTTCGGAAGGAGCGACAGTGAGTGATTGATTCACGATCAGTGGTTAGAGCGCGAATTTACTGGCCGGAAGTTCCGTAGTTCAAATCCGACCTCTGCATCTGGAACACAACATTACCAACAGTGGAAGAGGAATGCAATCATCGTCAATTAGGGCGAAGGAGACACTCGGCCAGACAAAGAACTAACTCTCCGCCTCCCCGCCCCTCACACAACCCACAGAGCATTACCACTTGCGGTATTGGAAGCTGACCCAGCAACCCCGCGATCTGTAGTCGGAAAACAAACTAGCTTTCCGGTATCTGCGTGATACTGACTGAATCTACGCACCATGTATTATTTACAGCAACGCCATATGAGAACATCGGCGCTCCACTGCCGTACTAAATGTGTAATTCATGGCTGTGTGTGGACTGACATATTGCCAAGAAGTCCGCATCTAGACAAACGGACCGATTACGGTTCTCAACTCAGAAGCTTAATCGCAAGGCAGTGGCAGTTGGCATCAGACCGTCAGAGCAGCCTACATTTATCCAAAGCAAGTTGCCACACATGTTCCAATCCATAATCTGGATGACCGAGAGACTGTGTCAGTCGAACCTCTACCCATTGATCAACCTGGTATGAGGCTCTGTGAGTTCCACACCTACAATCCGCCAGTTTAGCTCAATGGATGATGGAGGTACGCAAACTGCCAAACCGTGGTAAGGTTCGGGCTCTTTGCGACAGGGTTGAATCTGACGTCAGGTAGTAGGCTTGTCCTGGTAGTTTCATTCATCATGCTAACGCGCATGGGTCACTTAAACGTCCTCTTACCAGTGGCGGATTTCAGCTTTTCTCTTGGTTGTAGGCGCGATTAGCTCAGACAACAGGTAAGGGTATTCCATGGTTGGGGCATTAAGATTTCGAAATTGCGCTTGGAGGTAAATTTTGTAATGACAAATATACATCAGAATTTTGATGATACACTCACGAAGTTTATATACTGGCGCCGACATGAAGAAGAATCCCAGACTGTATAAAATTCCTACTTTCATTCTCCCGAGCCCTACGACTTCCCAAAACTAAAGGACATCCTTCGCATAGGGTTATTACTCAAAGGGGCATTTCTTATAATGAACTAGAAAGGAAACCCGCCACGAAGGCCACCTACGTCAATGGAATGCTCAGTCGTGCGGTAGAAAAACACTTGTAGAGAGAAAGCATATGAAACTATCATCACCATCATCATCTTACTGATCATAGACATTATGACATCAGTGTTCAATACTAACGCTTCGCTGCCGTACAACCAGAATTTATTTGAAAGCCTTACTGTGAAGAAAAGAATAAAGGTAGACGGGGAAGGAACTTGGTGATGGCTTACTACAATAACTGCGCAGCGCCTAAACCTCCAAACACTCATTCAGGATAGAAACTGAAAACAAGAACGTCACTGACATCGGTTGGCAGCCTTATCTTGCAGCATCTCCAACCAGGCGCAGTGAGGATCACCCGGCCTCCATCCTGGAAGGCGAGTAACACCAACAGCACCCAAGCGTTTCGTGCTTTCTTTCCTACCCTCTGCCAGGTTAAGGGTCGGCCACCTCTCTGCTTCCGCCACTCTGAATTGGGCATGGAAAACAGCACCCTCTTCGGCAAACGACGGTTCGGCATACTCAACACATGTCCCAACTAACGCAGCTTCTAGTGCTCGACACATTCTTTAATGGAACTACCCGTTGCACAACCGAACACTCGCTTTCTAACTGCCTCGTTTCGGATACGCCGACACCGACCCACACGAGCTATGGTTCTGAGACAACGACTGTCGAACACCTGAAGATGTCTCAGTTCCGCCACTCGAACAGGCAAGTCTCACAACCATACAACAAAATAGCCGCACTGTAGCTTGATACACATGTCCCTTGAGATTTAGGAACACGCCACTCTGACGCCATAGGTGTCCCAAATTAGCAAATGCGACCCGGGCCTTGCAGATCCGTGCATTGGCCTCATCAGTCACACTAAAATCGGAACTAATACAGATTCCAAGATACGCCTGATCGTGGAGGACACAACGTGGCCAGATGACTTCGGCTATTCCGGTAGTAGTGCGTAAAAACGGTCTGATCAGCACACAGCTGAAGCAATCGTTCCCCATTGTCCGTACGTACCAATCCATGTGGAGCTCTTAAATGAGTTTCAGATACTCTCAGATAAACCCATTTGTGCATTCATATCTCCGGCAACCACCGCGATGTTTGAGCTTTTAGCTCGCCGTAACAGGACATTCAGGGCGTCATAAAACCTGTCTTTGACGGAGTCGGAGCTGCAGTCTGTTGGGGCATAGGTAGACACAATAAACATACATCCATCAACTTCCCGCTGGCGAGACTCCTTAACGGACGTTGCCAGACGAACCGCACAGAGGCGACTATCAATAGGTATTCAGTCACGCAAGGATGCTTCCGCCCGGTGACTTAGCACAATACCA